ACGAAACAAATGACCCTAGCAGGAGTAGTTGCTGTGTAATGTAAAGATAAAGACGCCACACTCTGGCATGCGCCGTGACAATACACTAACGCCACTTCTTCGCAACCAGGCAAATAAAGAAGACACTAGCTCGAATATGCTTGAGGTATCTTTAAAATGGATCCTTAATGTATGAGAAATAAAATGCTAGCATGGGTATTTCAAGCAACAGCAACAAAGATTTGCTTCTACTTCATACCAACAAGTGGTGGGAAAACCCACCATCAATCAACCAAAAGCAGGCTTGCTAAGTAGACTGGTGGATTGCACAAAATAAAAACAGACCATTTTTAACGAAGAACAATGCAATGCTCTCTTCTGCAGACATTTCATCATACACACTACCAACTGTGTTGACAGGATGGAAACTAAGGCGCTTCCTTACCACTTTTAATGGGATTCTATGCCATCATATTTTGGTTAACACGGATTCCGAAGGAGACCACCTGATTCCAAAGCTTTAAGCAAAAAAATTGCAACTATCATCAAGATCAGAATTGCGTCACACACTATTCTCGCATCATCTCTCTTCCTTGAGACTTCCTTACTTCTCAATGAAAACATCCCTTTCTAACCAACACAGGATCGTGCATCTGAGTATCTACTCCAAGTAAGTGAGACACCTCTAACCCACAGCGGCATTATAACTAGTCGAATCAGATCCAGAAATTGTCCCCCAGTACATGCACAAATTTAAAGAAAAGATTATTGCTAGAATTACCGAATTATGACTATTTAATCCACAAATTTCAGCACGAAAGTGAGAGTTATGTCCCCTGAAATAAGTGCTATCATTTAAGGAGTTTATGCTAGAAGACCTACCATCTGGGCAAGTGAGATGAGGCATTGAGGATAACCAGCGTCGAAGGGCTTCAACATGTGCCGGTATGTTTTTGGGATCCTCACCGAGCCGCGCCTTCGCCAGCTTCACATACTTGGAGGGTAGTTTCTGAGCGGCTGCCATTCCTCAACTGACTCCTTGCAGCAGAGGCCTGCAAAAGCAGTCTTGGCAGTGACGCTATTGGAAGGCGGTTGGCCTTCACCAATT